TATATATATATATATACACACACACACGCAAATTTTATTACTTATTACCAATTATTTAGACTGTAGGTGATATAACAATGGCAGAAGAATGTTTAAAATTAGCTATTGTTAGTGATAATAGATATGCTTTAGCATATAATAATCTTGGAGTTATACAAATTCGAAATGGAAACATTACTGCGGCGAGAACATATTTTCATGCTGCTGCCAACATTGCTAATTTTCTTTATGAGCCTCATTTTAATAGTGCTTATTTGGCTTATAAGGTATTATAATTATATGTTATATTATGTTTTTGCATAGAGTTATATCATTTGTATTACTTTAAAAAATTTCGCAGATTGGAGATCTTCAAACAAGTTACATTGCTGTACAAAAATCGCTAAGTACATATCCTAATCATGCTGATAGTAAAACTCTACTAAATAAGTTAGAGAAATATTTTACATACATGTGAATAGAAAAATACAAAATTTATTTATATCATGTAAAATGTATTATTTTATTAATGTTTGATTTTAACTTTACAACTAACATTATTTATTTATATAATATATATATGTAAAAAATACAAATCATATGATTTGATACTATATTTCATTTCTATAATACTATTAAGTGACTAAGAAATAAGTGAATATTTTAATAGGAATGTTCGTTTATGATAAAAGCAGTTGACAATAATTATATTTTTTGAAACTGTACATTATACACATTGAATGATGATTTTGTGTTTCAAATGAATGAAGATTAAAAAATTATTTTCTTCCATCGTAAACTATTTTTGTTTATCAAGCTTACGTATAAATATATAACAATCTGATAATAATTTATTTAATTATTATTCATTATTTTATGCTTATGTATGTATAATTATAATTGACATACAAAATTATGATTTTCTAAAATGTATAATAATAAATAACGTACACATCTACAGCAATAAATTTTATCTACAATTTTTGACTCGTGACATATGCTTAAATTTAATGAATTTCAAAGTACATTTCAATGTAAGCAATGTTTTGTTCAATTTCAGCTTTACTTTGTGCACAAATATGAAACAATGTACAGTCTTCTTATTATAATCAACTTACATTCTATCTTATGTGGTATGAGATATAACCAACCAGGAAATTACAAAATAGAATAAAAATATTGGATACACAGCTAAAGCTTTCCTCCCTACTGGTTGGCTGTCACCGAGAAATGCCATTGATGCTAAAATGTATATAAATCATATTTGCAGGAAAAAGTTTGATGTACAAGTATCTAATGTAAAACTCATCAAAGTTATACTAACCATATGTTGCCCATACGAATCCAATCATAGTAATAATAAATCTTAAACTAAATAAGAAAGTAGACTGTTCTGCCATTAATATGATTCTGCATAAAATTAGAGCAATGGCAGTTGGCAACAAGCAATATCCTAAGACACAAATACTTTGGAAGAAAGATCTACAACAAACATATTATCTTTTAAATATAACAAATAAAATGCAAAATTCTTGTATTATTCATTTCTTATATTTTAGATTTATAAAAAATTTATAATAATTAGCTACCAAAGTCTTTTAATGATCTATAAATTTACATACATAAAAATCATGCAGCATACTACTATAATTTTTAATCCTAGGATAAATACTGAATTTTTCTGTCTAATACAACTACTTACATGTTGCCACCCAATAATTTGGAGTTCAAAGTAACAACCATAGATCCAATCCATACAATCACAAAAACTTCAGCAAACTCTGGTCCCCCATCATTAAAATTATTTGCTGTATCAGAAGAACCTTGTAATATCCTGAAATAACAACAAAATGTTTATAACCATAACTATAAGATAAATAGCATTTGAAATATTGTGAAAAATATTAAATTTACATTGCCATGAATGTACATAATACTAGTGGTCCCCACAGATCCCCTAGAATTAAAGATATTTTTTGTATTGAAAATATAAATTATAATTATAGTATAATTTATAATTCATAATATTAAGGTATCTTAATAACATACATTCCTTTAATAAGCTCTTCTTTTCTTTTGGATATAAAACATGATAAAATTTTTTGCCCACTGCTCGTACATCCCTGAGCTATAATGTAAAATATAATAATATAATAATATAATCTTTTTAAACACACCCAATATTTGTATATACAAAATTATATACATAATGTTTATAAACTCACAATCGTATCTCTGATTGGTTCATCCAAAGTATTAAATTCAGGTTCTCCAAGATTTGATTTTTGTTTGCCTCCTACTGTCAGCTCGCCTTCAATATTTTGAGGATCAGCATATTCCATCGTAACTTTGAACTATAAGTAAAAATTTGAGATTAATATTATTATATTGCATTTATCATAAATTAAAAAATAAATAAATAAATAAATGTAAATAAAAATATTTTTAACATTATATGTCCAACATAAGTACATACATCAAATTTTGCATCATCTGTCGCTGCCATATTTGTTGTAGACATTAAACTCGAATTATGAAATCATTAAATATATTATCGGGATTTTAAATGAAAATATCTTCATATCATATCATATTGTTATGTTACATGCACGTGAAGATTTTTATCTTAATTATTTAAACGATCTGCCGTTATACGTGCAAAAAGATCTCCCAATGCGATTTAACACTTCTCATGGACAGTGTTAATAAAAAGCTCTAAAAAGATATATACGCGTCATGATATAAATTGTTCACGTGAGTACAATGCAACTGCGAATCTTTTAATCATTCATGAAGGAAATTGACACTAACGTTGATGCATTCAGTGTATGAAAGTTAGTAGATGGCAGTATTATTGTTATGTCGCGTTTATAAACTCGTGGCTTCACTTTGTCGATTGAATGTTGGTTAAAATCATACAATTTTTCCTGGAAAAGCATAAAAATCGTGAATATTTAACGACCCTTCTCTATACGAGTGTTTTATCGACACATTATTTTATATTTTAAATGCAAGGTTTTCGCCCGACGAAATGCCACGCGTTCTGTCTTATATTGTAATCGTGTCAATGTTGACATGTACTGCGCATGGACAGCATATTCCTCCGACCGTCGAGAATAATCGAATCAATGAGGAGCCGCGAAATAATGATTCATTTAAAATTCAAGTCTACGAAGAATTGTGTATCCATTCGAAATATAACTATAAATTAAATTTAAAAAAGCAACTTAAGTATTTAACATATCATTTTTATTGCTCTTTCATTGTTATAATTGTATCCTTTTGATTATATAATATGTTGCTTGTTTTATATCTATTTGACTCTACAATATATAGAACAGGCGCTGAAGAAATTAATATTAAT